CAATACAAATTTTTTAAGGACCTGAACAAACTAATTTCTGTGACTGTTCTTTTGGATAAGCAGAGCATGATGGATATTATTTGTTTTTTATTTGGTAAAGTTTGTCACATTTTTACCTATAGAAGCTTTGTAGCTCAATTGTAAAGATGCAGACTAGATGAATGGGCTACACAGTGGTTAAAAAACCTGAGTGGAACATTAGACTTCAAAAGGTAGTGAGCAAATGTTCAAAGCTCAGCTCGCCACCAGTAGGAGTGATGCAGGTGAGGTCAGGACAGGGCCCAATGTCATTAAGCATTTCCACCAGCGACCTGGACAGCGGATTAAATACATTGAAATGAAATGCTGTTAAGATGCCAAACTGAGCTGCTGCTCAGTGGGACTTCGACAGGCTGAATGAATAGGCTGGCAAAATCCACATGAAGTCCAAACACAATAACACCATGCAATGGCACCAGCCATGAGCTGAGTGGCTAGAGAGCACCTCTGCAGAAGAGGACTGGAGGTCCTAATGAAACAGGAACAAAGATAGGGGTGTAGCTTTGCAACTGATGCAAGAGTGTAACCAACAGATCATTCACAGTGATTATATTAGCCCTTTACACGGCATCATGATCCCCCATCTGTAGTACTGTGTCCAGTTGTGGAGGCACTACTAAAAGAGGTCTTAAAGTAGAGAGAATCCAGAGGAGGAGGATGACTAAAACGGTTAAGGCAGCTGGAGGAAGCAGAGGCTGAGAGCGCTGGGTTGTTCAGCCCGAAGGGACAATTAAGGGTATCTAGTATCAAATGGCTGTCTTCTACTACCAAACAAGAGTGTTATTGAGAAGATGAAGCCCAAGCTGCACTGCAAAAGGACAAAAGATAGATGTCCAGATGCACCAAGATAAATTTCAGTTGAATGGGAGAAAGGAGAGGGAATTAGCAGAAGCAGAAATTAACATGCTGCTCATTTACGTTGTAGAATCTCCTTTCTTGGAGATTTTCATATACCAACTGCAGAACCTGAGTAACCTGTTCAGACTTTGAATCTGGCCCAGATTTGAGCAGGAGGAAGGACCAGGTAATCTTCAGAGGTGCCTTCCAACGTGAATGATTCTGAAATTTCATAGCAGCCAGTACAGTCTGTGTATTGTATGGTTGGTTGGCATAACCATGTGAAAGGGAAATTTGATATTTTACTCTTGCCTGTTGCTGAGTGCTTATAGTCTGTGGGGTTTTATAATGCATTTACAGAGTGGCATGAAAAAATATATATTTTTTAATGAAATAATAGAATGAACTTAAAATTTTTATTAATGTGAGAAAATTCAAACACAATAGAACACAGGAAATGTTATTTTTACTGTGAAAGAACTTCGGTACTGGACTCTCCGCTGTGACTGAGGTTAAATCACTCAACATTTAGCTCAGTTCCCTCTTTGCTTTACACCTGTGTAACAGTATTTCCCTGGAGTCACAGAGCTATTATAAGAGTGAACATACCAGTTTCTGAAGTACATCCATGGAGCAATGACATCTTGAAGCCCTCTATCTATCATCTTTCTCACTGAACTTATCTGAGATCATCTCATGGTTACCAGTGCAGTATCAATGGCTATGAGGTGGCAAAAATCCTGTACCTTTCAGCTCTCCAGAGTTCAAAGGGCATTAGCTGAATCTAGGTCTTCTAAACCTATTCAGGATTCAGGATCTTCTATTGTTTGGTAAATACAGTATTTCTTCAGATGATTGTGTTGTCTGTGCTGACATGCTCAACAGATTTTTAATGCCAATCACCATTAAGGAGGACACATGGCAGCTAGCGTTCTTCATTCATCTAACACTTACTAAGGCTTATATAACAGCTAACATAAGTTGTTCATCATTCAATTGCCGTTTGTGCCAGGGGTAATTATTTGAGTATTGCTCTGGCAGTTGCATTTCTTAGGTTGGGTCTCCATTACTGCTTCTAAATGAAAACAAGTTTTGCACAGTAGATTTGTACTGTCATTTGAGTGCTTTTTGTAAATATTCAGCAGTTACAGCTTTTTGTTACAGCTGTTTCAAGAGGCGAAAGCCCAAATTGTTGGGTTTAATAATGCAAATGATATCACATCATTCAGAGCTGCAACATCAAAAGTTATCAAGACAAAGCCAAGACCTCAATATGACCATGTAGAAACCATACAATCTTCACAGTGTTTATTACTTTAATGCCAAGAAGGAAAAGGCAACAATTTGTAAAAGACCTTGATGGAGATCTTGTACAATAAGCAGCAAAGTAAATCATAGAATGGTTTGAGTTGGTAGTGACCTTAAATATCACCTAGTTCTAACCCCACTGCCATGGGCAGGGATACCTTCCACTAGACCAGGTTGCTCAAAGCC